TCTGGTGCCCCAGCGTTTTCAGTAGCTAATGCTTTTAAGTCATCTAATGTAAGGTCTAAGCGGTAACAGTTTTGCATCATGGATTCATAATCAGAACTATTTTCAGACTCCCCTTTCTCAGGCTCTGAATGAGAGCTTTCACTATCACTTCTCTTTGTTGTACTGGTAACTGCTCCACTATGCAATGCAGCATTTTTTGATTTTTTCATTTTCTCTTTTCTTTCGATGTGTTTTTCTTTTAAATTGCGAGTTTTCAGTGAGGAGGCATTTACCAAATCATGTTTTTTGTTAGTTAGCATTTCGTTGTTTTCCACCTTCACCTGTTTAGAATCTTCTAAAATTGCATTTTTCCTGCTACTGTGATCTGGAGTTTTACTTTCAGCAATAATTTCATCCGTATCTGCTGAATCATAACCATTATCACATTCCATAGCCTCTTTCTCTCTATAACTTCCTTTCATAGCTTTCTTCATGGCATCTGGATTGCTTAAGGACCAGTGACTATTGTATTTTAACTCAAAATTATCCCCAACGATTTCCAAGTGGTCACTTTCAACGTCAACATTCTCAGCTTTCTGAATTTCTCTCTCTTTATTCACCATTGCTCTGATTTCCTCTTCAGAATCAATGTCACTATCAGAGACACTTATATTATTTTGAGCTGTAACTCCAGAAACATTGATTTTATCTGATAATAAACTTCTCCCTGATATTTTACTATTAGGACTGCTCAATGAAGGCAATTTAGACTTCTCAGTGGATTTGGATTTTGATCTTTGATCTAGTTGTGATGAGGAGCTTGTCTTTTTTGACTGTGACCGGCACCCAGAAGAGAGAGCTACTGCTCCGTTCGGAGCCTCACTGCCCAGTTGCCTCAGTTTTTTAGGTGGTTCTTTAGTTACGAGGACCTCTCCTTGCCGCTTCTTGTTTATGCTGTCATCTCCGCCTTCCAAGTGCCAAGTGAGCTCAGATACAGGAACTACATGTGTCAAGTCTGGTTCCAGCTTTCTAAGGTTATGGCAATATTTTGATGGGTCATATTTCACAATGTTACTCTGAGTTAAGGAATTAAAGCAACATGGTTCTTTCAGCAAGCAGATTTCCAGCCTCTATGAACAGGCTAAATTCTGCATGAAAGGACAATGAAGAGTCCTTTCTAATGTTATGACCATAAGCCCTTAAGCAATTGATTTGCAGTCTAAAAAAAAAGTTACTCAAATCACACAAACTTACTGCAAGATTTACTTAGGGGATTCAGTAAATAAAGTACAACACAGTAATTGATATTAAGACCGTTAAGCAAATGTTTCCCCATATGATGACAGGAAGAAGGGAATTGTGCCTACGCCCAACTGATAATTAAAGGATATTTTATTTTTTTGTTGACTCCTAAGGTGCAGGATGGGTAAGACTCTGCCAAATTTACCAACAACCCATTTCTGAAAGGAAACAAAAATAAACAGTGTTAAACAAAAAAGGAGTAAGAGTAACCCCGGAATAAAACAAGATGTATGTTCTTTGATAATAGAAATACTAACAAACAACCATCTGTGACTAATTCTTTTTTTGTTTACTCTCTTGACATGTATTTATACTGTGCAACTTAGCCAGCTTCCTTCTCAAAAAAAGAACAAACCAAAACCAATCAAACCCCTACATTTTTACAACCAGCAAATAAAGAGTGACAATAAAAAAACCTGAATTTCTTCACTTTACAACTACTATTTTTAATATAAGGCCACTGGTTTATGAATTAGCAGTGTAACTATACAGACAGGATCATTATTACTTTGCCTTTTTCCCCTTTCCCACTGAAAAATTAAAATTTCCCCCCATCACCCTCCAAAAACATTCTGTGCTTAGCAAGTAAGTTTTAAAACTCTGTAGTAAATATAATTTTTGTTGACTAAATTTGCACGTTCAGTGATTTTATTCCAAGCCTTACTTTTGTAAGCATGTGTAGACCCTGATCCTGAATGTGCTGAAGCACAGAGATTAGATCCTGACAGCCCAGCCGTCAAAAATGTGTGTCTAATTTTTATACAGCACATACATTCTCTTTACATGCTTTTAAGGGTGACATGAAGATATTCCCAACATAAACGAATAAAAAGGCATTTAGTAATTCAACATGACAGATGGGACAGTCAAGATTATTTCCAGTCATTTCAAAGAATGACAGGAGCTTTCTACATGTCTACACGTAAGATATTTATTTAGAGTACTTTTCACAAGTTGGAGTGTCACACTTTAAATATTTCTTTGAAGTGTAGATACTTGACATAAATTTAAATGTAATAAACTTGTACCCAATTCTGGGTTGTTTTTGTTTTGTTTTGATTCTCTATACATCTAACCCCACCATACCTTATGGTCTGGCACCTCTGTACCTGGTACTGCTTTCATGTGAAAGTCTACAACTCCAGCCTTTTTCAGGGATTCCAACAGACTTGCTTTGTCGTTTCTCTGTGGCTTTTCCTTCTGCAGCTTTGCTTCCTCCCTCTCTACGGCGAGCCTGTACCAAAAAGTACATCATATATGAAAAAAAGTCTGCCTAAGTGCAAAATTATAGCTGGCAACGACCCTCTCCCACAGAACAGTAGCCATTCACTAATTAAGGAATAAACATATCTGTTACATTCAAGGGAATAACAATGCAAAACATGTTGCAGTATCTAACGTGAATCAACAGTCCAGCAACATCAATAAAAACAAGAATAACAGCATAGCAGATGAAAGTGCAGCCATAATGCTATCAGATAAACACAAAAAAGGTAATTTTAGCAACAACATACATTTTTTTAAATTGATTTTCACCTGTGCAAAAAGCTTTCTTTGGCCAACTCAATTTGCAGTGTCCCTCCTTTCCATTTTGTTTTATTTAAAACTGAGATGCCTGTAAACCAAAGAAATGAGAAATGAATATTTTCTACATTAAAAAAAATACATGTTAGACCTAACTATGATTGTTTCTATGATAGCCTGAAGTTTCTTTAGCATGATCTTATAATCCATTGCTCACTTTGTATATGAAAGGTCTAGCACCCAAATGCTAAACAAGAAGGTTCACATCCCAAATTAAAAGTTCTGACTTCAAACGAATCATTGAAGTCTGTATGGTTCAATTCAACTACAAACCTGAAAATTCAGATCCTGGTACTCTGACGCTTCTATACTACTGTCAGACAGGCTCTCCTCTATTTAACTTCTTCTGCACTTCAGCATTCCCTACATAAAAGCGCATATTACCAATCCCTCTCTTTGGGTATAAGTATCTTCACCCGCCTTTTTGCCACTCCATATTACACAGGTGGTTTTATAACGCTGCCTGTAGTTTTATAATCTAACTATTTTGGGATTTGTAAAATTGCTTTAACAGAAACATACTTTACGTAAACTCTCCTTCTGGGTTTCCTCTCACATCAAGTCACTTCTCATGTTTTACGGAGCTGATGAAAGTATTTGAAGCACACTTCCTATACTTTTTCATAAAAGAGTTAGAACAAACTCATAAATCACTTATTTCAGTCACAAGGAATCTTTTTAGTCTGCTTACCGCTATTTACTGAAAACTTCAATAAAAAAAATTTCCGTAACACCGCAGCTTAAAGAAAATGGGATGAATATGAAAACAGAATAAACCTTGACCTCTACGTGACCACATCCTGATTTGGCACTATTAGCTACATTATCAGTAATGCAATTTAGCAGAAAAACATACATTACTTAAAAATACAAAAAACGTACTTACACTTTTTAAGATCTGCATCGGAAATGCTCACACTGATGTAGGCAAAAGTTTTCATAGGGTTCCCTGCCCAACGATAAACACCTAGTTAGTTTCTATATAATTTCAGTATTTCCTTTAAAACTAAAAATTAAGCTATTTCCTGAAAATAAAGCGTCTCTGAAGCAAAAATTCCATTTCACAACACGAATTGAAAAGCAATTCACTTTTAAAGAACGATGCAAAATCATTACCCTGATCATCTTTTCTGGTGATTATCTCTGCATCCAAAACACGCCCAAACTTGCCAAATCTTTCTTCCAGTTCAGCCTTAGAAACCGTATGGCCAAGCCCTCCCACGTACAAGCGCTTTGAGACCTGCTTCTTCTCCATGTTGAAAAGTCAAGCTGTAACGCAGGTTCTCTTATTCTGTGATAGAAAGAAAAAGAAAACAAATCATGACAGCTTGCTAACAACTACATCGTAAGGATTAATGCAATCATTGTACCAAGCTGTGAAACGAGTGGCTCGGTTCGAAATCCTCTACGAAGAGCCTTTGGAGAAGAGTGCTCCTCGGCTTTGCTCTGCTCCATCCCCGCAGCGCTGTGAGTAACCCCGGCTTCGGCTTTGAGGGGGGAGTTAAACCGTGAAGCAGATGCTTCTTCACAATATTAACCTTTTTAAGGATTTTCTAAGCGCGGGGGGAGGGTGAAAGGACACAACTGAAGCATGAGAAGGGGGTCGCAACCCGCCCTCGGCCCCCACTCCCGCCTCCCGGGAGAGGCCGCGGCACCGTCCGACAACCGCCGCCCCGCGGAGATCCCGCTACCCTCCCTCACCGCCGCCATGTGCCATCCGCGCAGCGCAACTCCCTTCATCTTCCCCCCCAGCACCCTTTCCTGCGAAAAAAGGGTTCCGGCTGCCGGAGCCGCGCACTGTCCCCTCGCCTCTCTCAGGCTCCCGTTTCCAGGCGGTCCAGAGTGATGGGAACACACAGGACGGGTCTGGTGGCCGGGGGCGGTTTGGGCGCAACTAACCGGGAAGAAAAGTAGAGGGATTTTCCGCAAAATAAAAATTAAAAAAAAATAAGAAAATAGCTGACAAAATAACGCCTTTTCCACCGAAATTGAATAACGGCATCAGGAGTCTTTCTTCAATCGGCTTCGTTGCTTGAAGGGGGGAACGAAAGCGCGGCCGGCCCCCCCCCTGCTCGGGCAGCAGCTGTGGTAGCGCCCAGGCCCGCAGCCGGGCGGGTTGAGCGCGCGCAGTTCGAAGGCGCGGGGCGCGCGCGCCGGGAGGGCCCGGGGCTTCTCCTCAGAGCTCGAGACGTCTTCTCAGGGCCCGGCGCCACCATCCCCTCAGGGTCAGGGCTTCTCCTCAGGGCCAGGTGCCACCATCCCCTCAGCCGCCACCTCGTAAAACTTGTAAGTTAGAAGCAAAACAACGAAAGGTAGCACTCCGCTTGCTCGTTTCTCACAAACTCTGGAAAGCTCTTCCTGTGGCAGCGTAAAAGCAAACGCTTAGGGGTGTATACGGGCAGGTATGTACGAATGTAAAATATTTAATGTTGATGCGCCAATATGTGTATATATATGTGTGTGTGTGTGTGTGCGTGCGCGCTTAGGGTGAGGAGAAATTATTGATTGTCGTTAAATTTGTGTTTTATTTAATTCAATTATGTGCGAATGTTTTTTTCTGGAGAGAATACTCTTTGAAGCTATATTTAGCCTTTGCACCTTCTGCACTCTAGTAAAATCACTAAAGACAGCTGTAAGCAGTATGTGTTCTGTTACTGTTCTCAAAACAGCTAGCTGTTAAAAGAGGAATTAGCTAATTACCTAGGGTAAAGTTCTGGCCATTGTGATATTTTTCCTTTTCTCAGTGTACTCTTTATTGTGACTGAAACTTTCTTCAGTGTATCCTGCTAAAAAAAACACCTAATAGGATGCATTAAAAGTTGAAGAATTTCTATTTTTTGTCCTCACTGATCTTGTTTGTTGTTATACGTTGCACAAAGTTGCTTTAAAATTTCAGAGGAAGTCACAACTAGGCATAATTTCAGTGATTCTTTAATTGCATATGCTTTCTTTATTTACTTAAGTTTTTCATGCAAAACACGTTTTGAATGCTGCTTTCGTGTACATGTTATTCAGATGCTGTTTGCCAACAAAATCCTATTTCTCCATCATCCTTCTTTATTTGAACCATGTTAGTGTGGATCTTGCAAATACAGTAGGGGTTGTTTAAAAACACACATAAAACTCGATTATCTTTTTTTTACTGGCTTACTGCATTAAGATGTTGGTGTTGAGCTGCATAATATATCTCCTTTCAGTCCAGGCTGAATGTCAGATATTTTTTTTTCTTGAAGTTGATGTTTATTTGTTTTAAACTGTTTATTAAACAGGGTTGGTTTCTTTATGTCTCTTTACTGCTGTTTGCTTGAAAGGCAGATCATGTTGTGCTGTTAGTAGGAACAGCTGTGCTTCATTTAATCAGGTGCATCGTTAGGTGAATTGGTTGAAGCTGGATTCCATTTCTGTGTCTGATAAGGATTGCTTTCTATCTCTGGTACAGCTTGTTGTTCTATTACAGCAAATGTAAACCAGCTGGATATGCTCCTGGATGGACTCATGATTAGCTGAAAAGATTCTTGAAGGAAGCCTTTGACTACATTAGATTCCTGATTTAGCTTCAGTATTTGGATGCTACTCAGTGATCTGTGTCTTAAAATTGATTTGATAATTGCATTTGGACTCAATGAATTAGGTCTTTGAGGAGCTAAAGCAACAAAACTACATTTTTTTCAAAATTGTTATCAATTTTAGAGAAACCATCTTTTTTCTTTTATCTAAAGTCAGAAATTTGTTCTTTGTCACATTCTTGCTGATATCTAGTATTAACTGGAAGTAGAACCTTTCCTGTTCATGATCCTTTTAGCAGAGTGAGTTACCATGTTTCTTAGGAAGATTTTTTACAGTCAGAATTATGAAAAAGGTGGCTTTTCTGCTCTTGTAATGTCTGCTTGCAGACCAGTGTCTTTCTAAGGTTTTAAGTAGGAATTGTATTGATGACAGAGTACTGTAGTATTAAGAGCAGAGTTGGTGACAGAATTCCTGTCAACTTAGGTTGCTGAGGATCAAGGCTTATATGTCTAATCTTCCATAGCAAAAAGGAGTGTTTGATGCTCTGGAATTCTTTACTGAGGTATAAATTAGAATTCTTGTCAGACCTACCTGGGGTATTTAAAAATTGTACGTGCCAGTTCTTCAGTTTTCAAAAGTCCTAAAATATAGTTAATTATCTCATTTTAAGTAGAGTGGTAGGATAAACAGTTGCCTATTGTTATATTTGCATTTCTTAAATTATTTTCTTGGATAGAAAGAATTTATTTTGAAAATGGAGTATTATTTTCTTTGCCTAAGAAATATCCTTGTTTTGTTTTCTCTAGTAACTGTGATTCTGAGAAATGGACAACAGTATTTGTCAAACGTATGAAGATGAAATCCAGTTGCTGGAAGAAGAAATTAAACTATTGACTGAAAAATATGAAGATAACCAACAAGAATCCACCTTTTTTTCTGACGAGGAGATATTAATGTCAATGTATGCCTTTTTTTCACATGTTGGATTAATAGTGTTTCTTTGTCAAAATGGTTTAGGGTAAGCTTTTGCCTTTATGTTAGGACTTTCCTTACGTTATTTTTGCAGTGCTGATCTTGCTTAAGATATGTCTATATATTGTAAAAGTTTACAAATAATAAATAGTTGACCTCTCTTTACTGCCTTCCATTGGTAGGTAGTTGATTTTTTTTTTTAGGATTTTTTTTTTGTTTTTACAAAGGCAGTCATAGTTGTCAGAGCATGATATCGGGTACGTTCCTGTGCAGGGCCCTGCAAAGCTGTTGACTGCAAAGGCCATGTGTTCCATCACGGCCTGTGAAACAGCTCAGTGCACATTTACTTAAAAAAACGAAAAAAGCGAGGACTGGGGACTTGTGCAATTGTGACTAATTATATGCTCAAGGAGTGCCATGTTAGGGCTTTTCACTTCCACTATTTAACTGATATTCCATAGTAAATATACACTCCATAGATAAAATAAATCGTTTAGATGAGTAAAGGCATTGCAGTTCAATTTTGTTGTACATTCCTCAAAATGGATACTTACATCCCAAGACTTATAATAAAGACTGTGTCTACCTGGTGGAGAACATACAGCATTTATGTAAGTTAGAACAGTTTACTGTTCCTAGTAACATGGTCCAATTCAAATTTGACTCATTGAAAACAGATCTTAGTCTGAAAATCATCAGATCACATCACAAATCCCTTTTATTTAATGTTACTGCTGTACTGATGTGACAAAACATGTTATTATTTCTGGGTGTTTTCCTCTTCAGATTTTTTTTATTTTTTCACTTCTAGAAAATCACTGCAAAAAGAATCTCAGCAAGAATCTAAGGGACATGAATCTCCATCAGATCTGAAAGCTCAACTTGAAAGTCTAGAAACAGATCTTTCTTTTTTGATGAAATTTACTGGAATTCAGTTCAGAAGACATTCCAAGAAAACAGTGGAAAAAAGTAAGCGTTTTTGTGCTTCTTACTGGTGCTATGCTGAGCATACTATTTCTGTTCTTTACATTTGCAAATGCATGTTGTAATTCTACCTTCAGTGTTAGCAGAAAGACAATTATTTTGAGATCTGATAGAATTTTCTGCACTGCCGTGAAGGTAGTTGTGGTGGTCTGTTTTTTTTCCTTAACGTGTGTGACTTGACTTTGTTATTAATATGATGGAAGGTATCAGTTGGTACTTTAAATATGACCAATGGAAGGAATGCAATAATTGTTGAATAGAATTATAATCAAGTATTTTGTTAACTTTATTTTACAATAGCTGGAAACAGAACAGTGCAGAAGCACAGACTGTCAGGGAATTGCCACTCCCTCTCTTTTCAATTGGAATTCCAGCTTCTTGAAATACAGGTAAGGATCAACGTATGTTTAAAAAAAAACCCAAAGAAACAAACAACCAAGCAAAGAAACAAAACTTCAAATGGACAAACGTCGATGCTTCCTTTTCCAGCTGAAACCCCCAGCCGGTACTTTGTCATTTTGATGGCCCTGATCTTTTTAATCTGAGTCTCAGTGGGTTGTTTTCACTCTATAACAGCCAGACCCAATTTTGAATTCCATGCGTATCCAAGCAAAGTAGTTCTGAAGGTCAAGTTCAACATGTAGTTACAAAATTCTTGTCCTGTTCTCTTATAGTCAGATATCTTGTTCTGGAGACTGGAAAATTCCAAACCTTGCCTCTCTTGAGGGAACTGAGGAAAAACTAAAACACTACAAATTCGAACAATTGTGGTTTTTTTTTTACTTTGGTTATATTTCTATTCTCTTGGCTAGTGTGACTAGCCATTATGTCATGGGACTGCACAGAAATTGCAGATTAGTGATTACAGATTTCTTGCAAAGATGCTCTTGTATAAATATCTGTTCTTAGCACAGAATTCCAAATGATAAGCAGTGGAGAGCAGCTGCTACCCCAATTTGTAATAATGTTTTTGACATCAGGAAATTTCCTTCTCAAGAAACCTTGATTGTCGTCTCAGCTTTAAAAGGTTTTTTAAAATTGAATATGATTGAACCTGATAGTATTAAAAATTGTCTTGCTATGTAAACATGTCCCCCTTCATCTTAAGAAAAAACATATTACGAATTTAGAAAATGAGTTTTTAGATAGTGACAAGTGGATTGCAGCATTTGAAACTGCAGGAGTTCAACTGAATGAGGTTATTCTTCAACCTCCTAAGTCCATGCTTGACTCGAAACTTGGGGTCTTAGTGATGTCATTTTACCATTTGCTTGGATAAAACTGCCTTTGGTGCTGAGCACAGACATAGCCTGCCTCATTCATGCGACTTGGTTAGATTAATGTTTATTTCTCACCTGTAGGCTCCTGGATGATGCCGTGTTTTACTGTCAGTGAAACTCAGATGAGTAAGAGGGTGTTATCCATCGCCGCATTGGTGATGCTTAGTGGTGATTGCACCACTAGATGGCAGCGCTTGTCTTTTAATGCCTAAAACCTGCTCGACTTCAGCAGTGGTGAAATAGTCTAAAGTGATATATACAATACCACGTTTATATATTAAATATATATTTATTATAAATATTTACCAAATATTTATTATAATGTAACATATTGGAGAATAAGTCTTATGAGGAGAGGCTGAGGGAGCTGGGGGTGTTCAGCCTGGAGAAAAGGAGGCTGAGGGGAGACCTTACACTCTACAACTCCCTGAAAGGAGGGTGTAGCCAAGGGGGGGTCGGTCTCTTCTCCCAAGTCACAGGCGATAGGACAAGAGGAAACGGCCTCAAGTTGCGCCAGGGGAGGTTCAGATTGGATATTAGGAAAAATGTTTACGTGGAAAGGGTTCTTAAGCCTTGGAATGGGCTGCCCAGGGAAGTGGTTGAGGCACCATCCCTGGAGATGTTTAAAAGATGGTTTGACATAGTGCTTAGTGACATGGGTTAGTGATGGGTTTTTATCAGAGTTAGGTTGATGGTTGGACTAGATGGTCTTAAAGGTCCCTTCCAACCTAGACGATTCTATGATATTTTGATATGTTATATATAGTATACATATAAAAATTAAAATTTAAAAATCTGCATTAATTAATTTTTAATATAAAATTGCATGGCACCTGTAACTTTTAATTTAATATGCAATGCAGATGATGTATCAATTAATCTTAAATTGATAAACTCTGAATTGCCAGTATTTTAGGCATTTGTGTCATGTGGGTTGTGGACATGTTGTGGAAAATGGTAAATTAGTTAAGCAGACACCAATGAAAAGTACAGTTTGTTAATTGTGCCATAATATACAGGTTGGATTTTTTATTTGGTTTTGGTGTTACATACCCAAGTCAAGAAGTACACTTACTGTTTCAAACACAGACTAATTTATTTTCCTTTACTTAGTTTTTGTGGTTGTATATGAACTTGAATGTTAACAAAGGTTTTGTGCATTTACTTAAATGTTCATGTGTTTTAGCTGTTTTATGAATCATAATGTAACGGTTTGGTTAGAAATGGAAAATAGAACCATTGTACAGTTCTGTATTTTCATTTTGTTGGAACTGTTTAAATCAAATAGATTTAGCGATAATTCAGGGGTTCCAAAATTCAAGCTTAAGGATTATATTTTTAAGATACACATTTTTGTAATTTATATGATTAAAAATTACTCTCTTCCATGTCCTTATAATGAAGAAGCATATTTCATGACTACAGTGTTAGGAATTCCATTCAGCCAATTTGTCTGGCTCTAGTTGGCTGTTTCTGTGGTGTAAAAGTAGTGGCAGGTTATCTTGGTTTTGCCAGTCTTTGTACGCTGTGCAGGTCATCCTGCGGTGCAGTCAGTAGGTCCCTGTCGATGCAGGACTCTGCCTCCATAGCTCTCAGGAAAGCTGTGACTTCACGCCACGCTGAGACCTGGGAAACTTTGCTTTAACTTTTTTATGCCTCTGGCTTCTTGTGTATTAAAAGGGAGAAACCTGTTTTCTAAGATAGGGCATTAGCAGTTGTATTCAAAATAACCTGTGCTGAGATCAGGGTGGGTAAGAGAGTGTAAAGTTGCAACTGGTTTCACCCATCTCGAGAAATAACAGACAACAGCTGGTTTGGGGAAATGCTTAGTAGGTAACAAATACATTGGTATGCAGCAGAAGATAGAGAATAACTTTTCACGTCATTAACTCTAGCCATTTAAACTAGTAGTTAAGTTACCATACAGTTAATTTTCCTCCATAGTACCTTAAATCAAACCTGTTTATCCACAATAACAGATTGTTCTTCTAATTATCTCTAATTTGATCTTACCATGAGTGACTTATAATATTTTGTTTAAAAGCTGTATTCCAGGATACAGTTGTACCAAGGAGGGTAGAGAGATCCGAGTTCACTCTGACTGGCTTTGAATGGTTTAGATTATGTCTGTATTACTGCACTATTGGTTGCTCACTGTCTGACATATTCTGCATCTTAACTGGTTCTTTAGTTTTGGCTCAGCGTCAGACAAGCATACAATTTATATTCCCAAGGTGCTGACTCATGTTTTTGCCAGCTTTGATTGCAAGCAAAGAAGGTCCCATCTGTTCACCATTGCACATAGGTGGATATTTCCAAAGGTCAAAAAAAAGGTTGATGAAGAAAACAGGTTAATGCAAAATCATTGTTTGATTTATCTATTTTTAACCTCTTAGGTATTAAGAGAGAACGTGTACAATTAGCTTGAAAATCTGCCAAAACAAGTGTAAACCTCTTGAGGCAGCAGTCATTCAAATAAGAGTTGCTTTCTTCTCAAGAGCTTTCCTTTTAAACCTTTTATTTGACCCCAAGATGACATTTACCATATGTTAGAAACCTACTTACTGCAAAACTAGTTTCTTTAGAAGGGAGCACGCTAGCTTGTGGCTACTGGTAGCTTCTCTACAACTCCATGCGCGTGTTGATCCTTTTGCTCTAAATTTTAAGTGTTTTTTCCTGATGTTATTTATTCAATCCCCTAAACTTTGTAGTGTCTTGGTTTGCTTTTTCCATCTCTACTCATGGCAGAGTTAGCAGTACTTCTGTCCAACCAATACTAGGGATTGCTGGGATATGTTTGCATTTGACTCCAGCTTTTCTGTTTAGTTTCCTCTGTGTTGCCATTCCCATTTGCTTGTAGTGACTGGGTATAAGAAAAATAAAGTATAAAGTCTCCAGTATAAAGTGAAGCATTTGCTATGGCCTTCAAGCCACGATTTTAAGCTTTTTCATTCACTTTCTAACCTATTCCTCTGGTGTGTTCAAGAATGCTTAGAAAAAAGGAATATTTTTTTATGGCTTAATTTCAACATTGTTAACTTTTATCTTTTTTTTTTTTTTTATAGGGTGTTAGATATTTTAATTTCAAAACACTTGATTTTTATTATCATGCCTGTGTCACTTAGTAACAAATACTGTTGTAAAAAGGGACAAGAATTTGAGGGAAAAACTATGGCCTGGAAAACAAAACATCAAAAAACAAAAAAGAAAACTAACAGGAAAATTAATTTATTTTTTTTAAACTTAGGTTAGCATTAGTATGATTTTCAGTTCAAATCCTATATTTGAGTTTTCTTGTATATGTAGCAGCTAGGGGTTTTGTTGGAAAATGAGAAGAATTCTAAAGAAGTGGAAGTGACGTGGAAGGAAGTAAATGAACTTCTTATTTATAAGTCTTCCTTTACACATATGTGTTTTCTGTGCAGGCTAGTTCAGGTATTATTCCTAAAGCCTTGTTGTATGGGTAATACTGGTACTGTTGAAATAAATGAAAGCATCTACACATAAAATCTGTAGTTTAAAAAATGCTAGTTTAAGTGTTATAGTACATTTGTGTATGTTTTTGTTTGTGGATACTTTTTTTTCTCCTTACTAGAGAAATTTCTAAAACACTGTGTTGTTACTTTTCCAATCCAGAACAAAGACAGTGTGTCTGCTGTTGTTACTAATCTTGGGATTATAATGGAATCTGGAGAAGATTCAGATGTGAGCAAGTTTGTGTCAAGGTAAGGTGGAGATTTTTAAGGAGAGTTGTTTTATAGGTTATCTAATACTAAATGCAATACTGACTTTTCATGGAAATTGCTGCTAGACAGTGTCTTTGTTTGGCAATGTACTGGTAGCCTGACCTAAACAATTCCGCTCCCTTTTCTGTATCCTGGAGAGAAGACACTTAATGCACTTAATTTTGAAGGCCTGAAAGGACCATTGAAAACTCATGATGAAAAGAAAGTCTTTGGATTATAATGTGTTATAGCTGTTTGAAATTGTTTGGTTCAGAGAAAGATATAACAAGGTAATCTCAGCTATTGCATTTTAATTTATGTAATCAACACATTAACTGTTACTTAGATGTGTATGTGAGTTGCAGATGTGCAGTGTGGGTGAGTAGTGGCTAAAGTGTACATCGAGAAACCCTCTGCAGTACTTGCCAGTTTCTAATTCTCTGCTCGCCTTTCCATGTCTCTTTGCATCAGGATTTCTTTCACTGGTATTTTAAAAACAGTGCAATACAGTTTAAAAACCTGGAATGGTGTATTTGTGCAATAGGTTAAGTTAGGTACATATTAAAATTTGAGCACATGACTGAATGCTACTTTTTGATTTTCTTCTGGAGGATGTCAACTTCTTCTGGTACACAGGATGAATAATGATCAAATTATTTGTCTGCAGTATTCCCCTGTGAAATCTGCTGGCAAATTATTCTGAGAACAAATCTATTATTTATTAATTATTATTGGGTAGTTGACCTAATCTTAATCCTGTTCTTTAAGTGATTTGGTTTGTTTTGTATTATTTTTTAGACTTGGGAGAGTGGAGTGAAGGCAAATGGATGGGTGAAAACAAAGGTCTATTGAGTTACCTCAGGCTTCATTCATCTGTACTGAAAGCTGAATTTTTCATTTCAAGGCTTTGGAATTTCCAGACAAAGCCACTAAAGCTAGCGGTGTAACTGAGAATAGCAGTTGTCTCTTCTCAAGAGGCAGGATTTAGAAGAGGAAATTACCCTGTTTTTTTCAGGAGTATTTTCTGACAGCAGAAGTGTCTTGGAACTTAATAGTCATACTGGAAAGGAATGCGTTGAAGTAGTGGCAGACTTTATTTCATCCTGGCTTGAGCACTGCTGTCTTGTCCATGTCTCTTCACTACCCTGGTTCTTTTCCACATTATGCCAGTATTCATAAGTAAATATAAGTTTTCATGAATGATGTAAGATGAATTAAGGATTGGCTGTCAATAAAGCACGCAGTTCTTTCTCCTTAGTCTTTTTTCAAGTACCAACTGTTGTCCTTGTGTCAGTGTACGTACTGTTGAAGCCACGTGACACATAGGTTCAACATAGTCATTTGGTTGAAAAAGTAACACGGGGGAACCCAACCTTGCCCCCTCCTCTCCCAACCCTTCAAATTTCCTTTTTACTTTTTGACTTGTCCTGTAACATCACAATGTCTGTTGCTGATCTAAGGCAGTAAATATGTGGCCGAGTAGGGGGCTGATGTTGTTGACGTCTATTTTGACCTAATCCCCTGTCTTTGTATCCAGTTTCAGGCTTTCCCCATTTAGCCCTTTATTCTTCAGTCCACCGGCTGCTCTTAGAATCTTGATTCCTCCTACTTCTTCCCTCCCTTTTCCTCCATTCTTGACCAGCTAAATGTCTCCCTCTGTATTGTTTGTTCTTTTCTGCCTCCCTACCCGTTTCTGTTTCCTTTTGTCTCTTTGGTCCATTCTTGCCAAATCTCTTTGTCTAGCTCTGTTCTGTTTTATCTACTGGACTGGATTTTTTTCTCTTCAGCTTTCTAATTTTTTTGCTTCATTTTTCATAATGCATGACAGAAAAGGGATCTTTAAGAGCACTAGAGTTAAAAACTTGGCATTCAGTTCTAATTCCCAAGTCCGTCCTGCTTTGGAAGAAAACAGGGGAACTGCCAGAACAGTTGAGCAACATGTTTTTAAAAGAAGCAAAATTCAACAGTCTATTTTCAATCAGGTACTGCTGCAATATATAATACTTATTGTGAAAAGGTGTACCGTTCCTTAAATATGTTGTGACAATAATATATGTATGCAAATGGAATCACAATATTTAGTCTTCCATTTTGGGATTTTACTTGAGTCCCCTTTGCACCAGTTATTACTTATGTTATACTTTATTAGTGAGGATCACAATATCTAATGAAAAATCTTGTTGTTGGTCTTTTTTTTCCTCTTGATACCCCATTAATTGTTGGGTTAGTTAACTATTGCATGGATTAGAAGGTTTTAGGCAGTTACAAAACCACTCCTACTTTTTACTAACTAGTTAGAATTTATATGTCAGAGTGAAGGATATAGGAAATGTCTGCATTATATTGAATACTGCACTGGTGAGGTGTCTTGGAAATGAAGTGAAGCATGAATTCTTCCCACAGCTGTAAGTGTCATTCTTTGGTTTTATATGCTACTACAAGAAGTCTTGCATACTGTAGTGAGTTAAAATAGATTTCCTCTCTTAAAATAACTAAAGGAGTGCATTAAAGGAGCCTTAAATATTTTTACAGCAATTAAGTTTCTTGTTTTGTGTTTTGTTGATGTTATCTTGTAAAAGTGAAAGGATGTTTGGATGAAGGGCATGTGATTTTAACCTGATACGGAGTCACACTCTGCCTGAATATGCTTTTTGCTAGTTTTGGATGACTTCTCTGTTACATGGATATTGGCTTCGGAGGTGGATGTTTTCTGCTCCTAGTGGATTTTTATTTTTTTTTTAATCTGGTGACATTTTGTAATGCTAAATTCTTCCCAGTGGAAAAAAAAACAAACAACCAACCAACAAAACCCGAGGCTTAAATTTAACATACTCTCTTAGTACCTTCTTATTTTATACCAACTTTTCTTGGTATTTTAGCATTTGTTGTAGTTGGTTTCAGCATTAGGAATTAGGCTAATTTAGGCTAATTAGGAATTATTGTTCATGGGTAGTGTAAGTGCTAGGAGACAGTTAACTGAAATGGTGCTCTTATGCAGTCTTTCTTCCTTGTCAATACAAAAAGCTATATGTATTACATATGTCTGTTCATGCCGACAAAGATTCTCCCCCTTTCTAAACACTGAATCCAGTTTTGTGTCTTAAATTTAGTCATCTCTATGTCTGTACATATGAGAAGTATATACTCAGATGTAATTGGTAGACTGACTTTTACATTTGAAACTGGTTCTTTGAACTAGTTAGCCAAAACTATCTCTTTATACTTGGTGATCTAGCCTTGAAAATTTTCTTCCCTATATCACCTAAAGATGAAGCTGAGAGGGGAAAAAAAGGAAATAAAGCCAAAAGACATAATGCTAAAATAAGGTCAGAAGGTTTGTGATAGTTCTTTTAAATTGCATGAAAGTGGATACTCATCAAAATCATCAGGTTTTTTAAAAAGAATTATGTGTTTTGTAACAAAATTTTGTGTTGCCCTCTTCCATGTATGCAGATTTTAAAAGTGTATTGCGGTATCTGTAGAATCATGTTCACTAGACGGTGAGATGTGGGCAGTTGTTGCTAAGTCTCGATTTTTACTATAGTGTGTGTAGATTTTTATATGTACAATTATGAGTTGTGGTTAAAGAAAGCTGTCCAGAATGTAGAGCTAGTCAGCTATTGTAAATCAGTATGTGTCTACGTCCTTCCAGGGACTCAATTTTGCCTGTGCTGCCAGCTTTTTCACCTTGGCCTGATTTTGTTGGCAGCTGTGACTACTGTGGTAACTTCCTTTAATGATGCTGTTCTTTCCAGCCTAGGATAAAACTTGTTTGGCTTTTCTTTTACATTTTCAATATCTGAATGAACTTCATGTATTTTTTTCCAGCTTATGTTTCAACAGAAAGGGTGGTAAAAGTCAAATTTACATGTAGAATTTAGATCCTCTGCAACTTTCTGAAACATTCCCAAATGTAAGTCAGGTATCTTCCTCAGTCAGATTTTGTTAACTTGTAAAATCCTGTATTAGTAATTAAAATAAAACTTGGAACAGGTTGCCCAGAGAAGCTGTGGATGCTGCGTCCCTGGAGGGCTTCAAGGCCAGGTTGGACGGAGCTTTGAACAACCTGGTCTGGTGGGAGGACTCCCTGCCTATGGCATGGGCCTGGAACTTGATGATCTTTAAGGTCCCTTCCAACCCAAACCATTCTGTGAGTCTATGATTTTCAAGGCAGTGCTTGCCGGGTACCTGTTGACAATGGCTAATAATCTGTTTCATTTGACTGTGGCTTCGTATCACCAGAGACATGAAGCTGTTTACTCTTATGATTTAAGAATTGTGTTGCTTCAGGTATTAGCTTTTGTGGAATTTTGCAGTCTTACCACATTTCTTTAGCAAAAACTGCACACCCTTTACAAGAGTTTTTTCTCCCTCCCCCTTGGTAGCACTGGATGGATAGTTGGTTTGTTGACAGTTTCTGTCATCTTACATTTGTCTCCTTTCGTTTCTCTATCCTGATCCTTACATTACTAGAAATTTGAAGAAATTTTTTTCTGTCGTGTTTTTCTTCAAAAGAAACCCCTCCAAGATGAACTCTTCTCCTTCCTACCACCCCCAGCTCCCCACCTGTTTCTTCTAAACTGTCTTTAATACAATCATCCCTCGTAACAGTGCGTGGACTGTCTGGTTCCTCTTTTGATTAGAGCTGAGAAGCTGTATATATAATATGCTTTAATGGTTGCCATCACTGTGGTGTTAACAATAAAGAGGGTAAGGTCTGTTCGGTTCCTGATTTCTACAAACTCTCTACTTCTCTGATGACACCTGTTTTAAGATCTCTTAATTCAAATGGTTCTAATCCTGATTGTTCAAAGGCAGGTTTTTGCTCATTACTGATTTCTGGTGTCTTGGGTTCCTTTCTTCTATTGTGGCCTGCCTTCCTGGGCTGTCTGAGAGTGACTGGAGTAGTGTACTTCTACTAAAACTGTTTTGCTTGTATACGTCATAGTTCACATACTGTGTATTGTTGCCTCTGTTTGTTAACTGTTGTCACTGGAAATGAAAAAACCTTATTCTACTAATCATTGTACATAAGCATTTTCACTTGATGCTGTTCAGTTACTCTGAAACTAGCAAAGAGAAAACTGTAGGAACTTTTCTTTATTTCTCTTACGCTTTGTCTCTTGTATTGAAAATTCCTCAGAAAATCCAGAAAGTAAAATGACTACTGCTGACCTGTCTGTTTTCAGAGGCACTATGGATGAAAAAATAGTTTGCAATAACATGGCAATTGAATGATTTCCTCACCAGAATAGCACCGATATGTTAGTCTTATGATACAGGCTGTAAGTTCTACCAAATCTGTCCTGGATAAGTGCGAGTCCTGCAAATGTGTCTCTGCACTGCTCTTCTCAGGACATCAGGTTCCATGACAATTTATTAGTGCAAGTCTAGCATCACTTGTACAAATGAAGCCGTAACGTATCCGCGTGTTGCTGAACTGTGAAATCATGAGGGAGCCCAAAATGCAGACATATTGAGGGGTGCAAAAATCAGCTTTGCTCTGTCCAGGCTTATTAATTTCTGTTTACAATGGGCTTGGCACTAAGATCTCTGCACTACATTTCTCAGTTACAGATTTATCAGCATCTCTCTCCCCTATCCTACCCCACTTTCTAATTAATGAGAATATCACCTTCTTCCTTAATAGCAGATAAATCAAGTTTTAACTGTCTATCAAGAGATTTTTTTAGATGCCGTATATAATCTAATAAACAGGCCTTCTTGCTTACTGAAGTTTCAAGGTTAATCTTGAAAAACTGAATGTCACATGGGCAGAGACGGATAACATGTCATGTAAAGATTTGGTTGAATAGGAGAAAGATCTTGGGAATATTCAAAGCTCAGTGATGCAATTTGGTAAATCTAAAGTAAGATTTAGATTAAACTTTAGATTAAAGTTTTGCTATGCAACATCTTGGAATTTATTTAGAAAATGAGAGTATTAGATGAACAAGCATAACATCAAATTAAGATTTTACCGGCGACTTACTTTGTCAAGTTTTACATTTAAGACCAACTTTGTTGCTGCTTAACTTCCTGAGGAGTTGGAAACTATCTACACTACAGCTTTTCTCCTGTTGTGATTTTTTTTTTTGGTGTGTGTTTTTGTGTGTGATTTCTGGGTTCAAATTTGACCAATACTAATCACAAATTCCTTAAGGAAGAAGTGCAAATTCTAGGCTAAAGAATTGGTACATCTGACTAGTATTGTTTAACCTAGTGTATTTTTCTTTTGTAGGATTGAAGAACATGGAAATCTTTTGATGTTTTTCAGAAGCCTTTCAACTTATGCCGAGTGGTATGAACATCGTAGACGCACCTTCCTACATTTCAAGGTAATGTCCATCTAGCCTTTATATATCAGTATTATGTTTAGTTCTTTAAGTAGTTCATTAAGACAGAGCAATGGAGATGAAATCAGCACTCTTCAGGGACGTATGGGAATCTCAATTTTATATGTTGTGGAGAAGAGAATATTAGCTAAAGATTTTTGTGTTGTGTTCAAGGGGCAATGCCCTTGCTTAGTAATTGTCTTGATTTTTACCGTGCTATTGGTGTGTTCCTCATCTGTCAGGGAAAATAAAAATATTTATGCCTTTCTGTCGGGGAGTAAGACAGTTTTTCATTGGTGTTACACTTCATTTTGAACCTAAAAAAGGCAAAAGAAGAAATTAAAAGAAAATAACTTTTGTAGTCTTTGGCATTTCAATGTTAGTTCTGAAGGAGTGTATCTGTCTTTTGAAAACTTGGCAGCATGTGTTTGGGTGACAGCACTTTCAGGTCTGAAGTGTTTTGCTTGAATGGGAAATAAACTGTTCCTCACTCTTAACTGGAACATAATATTTGAAGCTAGTTTTAAATTACCATTATTTGCTTTGTACTTCTACTGGTTTTAAGATAAACAGCTAACCCTTGGAGTAAAAATACTATACTTTTACAGGCACGAAATGTCTCATGTCATGCTTAATGTTTGAGGAGGATGTTTAGCTGCTTAATTGTGTGTGGGTTTTTTTAGTTCAGTTTTACTTAGCTCAGGCATTTACTGTCATTAAACTCAGTACCATCTTTACTTTTCAGCTGTAGTATGAACTTGGAATTGCTTTCTGTCTTTTTAAGTCTTCTAGACCTTACTGATTTCTGTGCTATCAATTTCTATGATCAAATCAGCCATCTTAAAAAGTACTAATTTCTGATAGCTGAGGACATGATTACTTTTTTTTAATGCTGAGTAGCAAAACGATGTTGTCTAATCCTGCTGGTTGTTGTATATGGACTTTTCTTTAATCCCTCTATAGAGAAGGTAGAGGACCAAGGGATTTATGGCTTTGTGGTGTGGGTTTTTTTGATTGTTTCTTTCCAACTTCATTTGATGCTTCCTGATCCTTAGATCAAGCTCATGACAGCTGTCATTGTGGTTTCTGGGACAGCAAATCAGTAAACTATTGTAAATATTTCTCATTTTAAAACTCTGTACACAAAAGAAAAAATAGAAGATAGGTCTGGAGATGACTTTTAAGTTGTGTGTATCTTGAGCAGTTTTTAAAAGTGTTTGTTCAGTCATTGAGTGCAAACAATGAAGGGATATATTCACTGTTAAAAGATGTGTGAAAATAAATTCACTGAAGGCACATAAAGTTTGCCAATATTACAAATATTCTTTTTTGGGGAGAGTATTTAACAAATATGATTGACTTTGTTCTTATTAAGAGTGTTTTAGGCCATATTTCTGCTAGCATTGCTAATGACTTTATTTAGAAATAGAAGTCTTTGTGAGGTAAGAGAATTAATGAAGACCAAAGCTGACAATTCAAATAAGCAGCTTCCTCGGTACATTGTGTATTTGTACCTTAATATTCTGTAGTAACTTGTGTGGAAGCAACTAGAAGTGTGCTTTTGCCATATGCGTAAAACCAACTCAAGAGTCTTACCCTGTTAATGCTCACACAAGGACAACATTAAAATAGTCTGTGTTTTTGGGTTTTTTTTCGACCTGCTTGCTAGACTTCAAGTATATGGACAGGCAACTGTGCACAGTATTGGAGAGAAGACTATTTGGGTTGAGTGTTTGTAGTTTTTCTATTGTTTTTATAATTTGATATTTACCCAGCTTGTTAAGTAGAAATAGACTGTGCTTCTAATAGCTTTCTCACAGTGTGGTGTAAAACCAGGAAAGGTAGTTTATTTTTTCTTTTCTATTAGTTTTGGTACTTGAGAAGAAAGAAATAATGTGAAAGTGATTGAATAGGTCAAATAATAATGAGCATTTGAGATAAAGGACAATTGTAAGTTTCAAGTGAAGTAGGACAGCACTGTATTTCTAATAGCTGTTTTGTAGTGAGAGTCTTCCTTGTAACAAAAGTAATGTTGGGATGGATAACTCGGGTTAAGCAAAGAAGCAATTTAAAATATGCATTGACTTGACTGTAAGCCCACCCCTAGAAAGGAGGGGCAGATTTAGGTTGGTGTGAGTGGAGCAATGTTCAGTTGTAAGCAAGTTGTGTTCTGCATTATATACTCCCTGACATTGTGCTCTAGCAGTTGTGGTTTTCTACTGAAACAGTTTAGTCTACAACTTTCATGCTACATGCACACGCAGTCAAGAATTGAGCGTATCGTTACTACTCTGTTGCTGTTCCTCTATTCTACTGAAAAAATCTACAAGGTAGTGCTTTAAATAGGTTTTGAAGGGGTAAGTGAAGTTTCTCACGTGTCTTCTGTATGGCAGGTCTTACTGTATTGCTACAATAAATATTATGTCTGCAAAATGGATTTACGTGTGCAATAATTTTCTTTTCTGGACACACCTTTAATCTGTTATGATGCTGAACAACTGAAGCATGTTGGCATTGCTGGAAGAGCACATTGAAGCTGATATTGATAAACAAGAAAAAAATATTCAAGTTTTATTGGAAATACAGAACAGGAATGAGTGGTAGGAAAAAATAGAATGGTGTACATTCAGCTTGATGTTAGTACTGGGCACACAAATAGAAGGCAAAAAATCCTGCATACTGAAGCCCTTTTTATTTAATATTTTGATGAGTTAACTTGCTATGAATCAGGAAAGCAAATTAAAACATATGAGATGCCTCGTGCAGCAGTAAGTTATTCAGAAGGTACCAGTTGTCTACTTGGGTTTGCTCACAAAATATTAAGAGCGTTAATTAGTATTACTATTGATATTTACTACTTTTTCAAAAATATGTACAACATTTTCATGTAAAAGTAATAATGATGATAATGGTGATAATGGTTAGGTCTTAGAATGTTTACATGTGTTTATATAAATGTGCTTGTATTTGTGTATACACATATAATTGTTTTCATAGGAAGAGTTCTGGTGATATTTGCTGATTCTATCAATGCTGGAAAGAGCTTTATTTAGTAATGATGATTTGTGATGAGAATAAGATCAGTGGCCACTGCTTCTATAACATTATTACACTTATGCTTCTAGCTGTTTTCTCCATCTTAGGCGTTTATCAAAAGAGGGATGAGAGAACGGATGGCTTTGATTTTTTTCCTAGTATGAATTTGGCTTGAAGTGGGAATGTATTTCTACATGCTTTGGGTTTGGTTTGTTTTTTGTTTTTTTTTTTACCTTTTGCTAAAAGTCTGGAAACGTCAAAGTTTTATGACTTACATGGGAAAATGAAAAGCCAATATTATTCTCACTGTTGGACTTTGGTTTTGTTCTCAATTGTACTAAGACAATGGAATTTCTTTCTTGTTATACCAAATAACTTAAAGTGGAAGATTTTGGGGATTGCTGTGTCTTTCTTTGGGTTCAGGGCAAAAATATTTTTGTCCTGAACTTCATAATTGCAGCCTCTTTCCAGAAAGATGAGCCCACTTTTGATACTTGATGTAGTTACTTAAAAAGCAATTGAAAATTACTTAGATCTCAACAATCTTAGTGGCAGAGTATCAGTATGGTCAGAATTAAGTGTGCTCTTAATTCCCCATAGCACAAGCACTAATAAATCAAGGCTTAGCTAAATAAGATAAACAAAACTAATACAAAATATCCTGTAAAATCAGTATGCTAGATGTATCACTACATCATCATGCATTTGATGCTTAACTATTTCTACAAATTAGGAATCTATACTAGCTTCAAAATTAGAACAAAGTACATTTATCTGAAGAGTCTAGACCTGTGGTAGGTATTTGAGGGGAGAAACTAAAAATGAATGTCAGAAATGTACAGTTGTGTAATTCAAATCATTGTGTCTTCTATCAATTATGTCTAGTTTTACGTGAACTGACTTTTGAGGCCTGTACACATTGATTTGTATTTTTAATACATTGAATGGTTTAAAGTAGTTGAGTGAAATGATACTTGAAGTTAACACTATTTTTAAATTAATGATGGAATCATTTTTAATTAAATTTTTAATTTAAAGATCTGATTTGATTTTTTTTTTTTCCCCTAATGAGCTAAAGTATTATTGCACAAGGGTAATCCTGTTTCTTTGCACTGACATCTAGCTGGAATCTTACTTATTTACAGGCAAAAACACTAATTCAGATTTGCTATTAATTGTATTGTCACATATCCTTGTCAAAAAAAAAAGTGGAACAAGGCTTGGTCTACATCATCAGTTAATAACAAAGATACTTGGAGTCATGCTATGCTGTACTTTGACCATTGTATTAAAATGGGAAGATTGTGTTGTAAAAATGACTCTTGTGAGTACAGCTGAGCAAAATTTATATATTTCCATTAAAAATACTGTGTGTAAAATGCACACACACACTTAGATTGTTTTGAAAGCAAAATAGTAGGAGATTTAACACATCTTTGAAAAGTTCCACTTGCTATGTTGCTTGGTACACTAAGCCTGAATAGGAATTATTCTCATTTGCCCCAAGCCGAGTTTTAAGGAAGCTTTAATGAAATTAATATTTGAGAGCTTCTGTTTCTAAACATGACTTTCTTTTGTATGCAACTTCATCCAATATGCTTTTGAAGGTCAATTGAAAAAGTTTCATTTCAGACTAAAAAAGTGGGATTGGAATCAAGATGTATTTTTTCCTCTGTAGCTTGCTCTAAGAATATTTTGCATTTATCTGAAAGTAAAATATAGTTATTTGTCTGAGTACTGGTAAAGAATGGGAACAAGCAGTTGCTTCTGTGATTTTACCTAGTGGTAAAAAATATGTGGTGGCGAAATAAAACTTGAGAAGATACGTGTGTGCATATATGTATTTTTACACTTCCATTAACAGAAAAGATTCTGAAAGCAAGGGTGACACTGTAACTACTAAATGAAGTGGCTGTTTTGAAATAGTTATTTTGGAGGAGAACCACATTACAACGTAGTAAAATGTTCTGGATATGCAGGGAAAATGGCATTAGTAAAGGAGAGGATATTAAATGTGTAAACAGAGGAAAAAGAATGATCTTTTGTTACCATGCTTAAGTTTTGGCACATATAATTGCATGAGTAGTGGCTAGTAGTATGTTCCTACAGGCAGTGTTCTCAAGCAGGAAAAAGCATTGACGTGCTTTGCCAAGAGGATCGGATTGCCTTCCATCCTTATCTCATCCATACTTGAGCGGATGTAACGGGTGTTATTAGATTTGCAGAATGTGTCATCGGTGATTGTAGTAATGTTGTTGTACTGCAAAACAAAACATTTGTTTAGTAAATAAATAAACACACACATATATACATGCACTTGTATATGTTGAAGAAATGTCAAACTTTAATATTATTCCTCTTACCCTCCCATTTTATCATCATTGGGATTGATTTGTGTATAATGTAGATACATAGGAATAGAGTCTTTTCAAACCAATTAATGAAGTGATAAGCAATTTGGGGTGGTTATTGATGTTTGAAATGCATTGTTGATAAAAGATTACTGCTTATTTTTACCACTTCCTATCTGTGAGAAATTCTTGCGCAGTAGTTAGCTAACAACTTCTAACACTGAATGGTCATGGCCATACAGATTAGATGTGTTGTTTAATTTGGAGGAGCATTAGACAACTGTAGCACAACTGGAGTGTGAACTGTTAAAAGACAGTGGATTTGGTATGAAGTATGTAACGAATGAGGCCTTTTGTAATAGAATTTTAAAGAACTACTTAAAAATACCTGAAGATGAAGAATACGCAGACTTTCTGGTAAATTAAGGGGAACAGATTCCAGTGCGTTATGTCCTAAGTAGAGGTAGGCCAAATTTGTCAGCTTCTAATAGAAAGAGAGAGAGATTTTTAATGCTGATATCACTTACATGAGGTTAAACAACTTGTGCCTGTTACAAGACATGAGTATTTTATATTTTTTTTTCTGATCATATAGGAAGCTGTAAAGTGATCCAACATGTAACATTCTTTGGCTGTGAATGTTTAATTCAATTGAATCAAGAAACTCATAGAACAGGCCTTCTATGTTTTGGGAATTTCAGTGTTAGCTTATTGGTTATAAACCTTGCGATGACCTTAAAGCTATATGCTTGTTTATTAGTATTTATGTGGTCCTCAGAACTGTATTTGAGCCGTCAATTTTGAACTGAGTTTTCCTTTGCATGTAAGAGAGAGAGGAAGTAGGGAAGATATTTCATAGAAAAATTTTTGTAAGAATGATGAGAGAGAGTGCACTAAGGACTATTATTCCAAAGTGCCTTAAAAGCAAAATGAAACCTGGAAAGTTTCTTCATTCTAGTTTGTTTCTTAGATTACAAAAATACAAGAAAAAATCGTTTGGTGGTATACTGGATAGTCTGGTTCCTAATTTTATTTACTTTGGTTACTTAAACTATTGTCCTTGCTTACCTTGAAAGCATTTGCTTTGATTCCTCTGCTCTTGATTCTATTTTGATTTGCGTTAAATGTTGTTAGTTTGGGAGGTAGAACAGGAAGTTTTATAAGTCGATTTTCAGCAAGAGAAAGTTCTTCCAATAACAGAAGCTTTGAAAAGGCTCCATCTTCTATTTCTTCTATCCTATTTCCACTAAAATCAATTCTTCTCAAGGTAGCTTTACACAAAAGAAATGAAAGTCTAAATATTAAATTTATAAATACATGGCATGTAAATGTGTATGGTTGTGTATGTTAAATGTTACGTTGTTGGCTGCACCATCCTCGTTGTGAACTATGAATGTAAATACTATTAAAATATGAATAAATCCACATTTGGATTTCTTCATGGTTTTAAATTTAAAAAAAATTAGGAAAATCCTCTGGATCCTTCTTTTTTTTTTTTTTTCTTAGAGACATCATGGTTTCAGTTATTCATAGAATTTTTCATATTGTAGAATGGGATAGCTGGGAGAGATACCCCTCATCTAAAGCATTTAAAGGAAAAATAATACATGGCCATTTAAGACTGGACGGGATGCAGAGTTAAATTTTATTTTTAGCAAACTGCTCTTTCTCTGCTTGGGTAGGAATATTAAGAAGGATACATGGGCCAAAATGGGTTTCCATCTTGCCTTCACAGTTCTTGTTCTAATGGAAGCATTCAGTTAAATAAGTAATAGACAGTGAAATTCAGCAAAGTATAAATTATATCTTGTTTCTATAATCTTGGCATACTTTTAAGGGACAACAACTTCAAATATACTACCAGGTAAACGGAAATTAAAATTTGAACATTACTTACTAATGTCAGCAAAATCTGAGACTGCTATCCTTTTTATTTTGTTAAATCGTGCATAAAGATACGCTGTTTCCTTTGGCAGTGGGGGTACAGCTTCGATGTCTATTTCCTCGCAGTACACCGATCCGCTTAAACACACACAGAGCAGGCAAGTAGGTAAATCTGAAAGCAAATTATTTTGAGTAGACAGTTAAAAATTATTCAACCAACTTAAGCTTGAATCATCAAAATAGAATTTTCTCTAGTATCTTTTAAGATTTCCCCTTGTTAGAATTAAAAAAAAAATTCTGTTGCCATCGAGTTCTGAAAAGATGTAATTTTCTCAACTTTTTTTGAATTTTGTATTCTTTTTCTTGCGTGTAATTTCCATGTGTATATTCTCTGTTGTTATCTGAGCATGTCTTGAAATGCTATAAATCGATCTTAATTCAGTTTTGTTGTTTAGCTGGCTTAGAGTATTGTGAATATGACAACTGCAGCTCTGTGGCCATGTTGAATGTCATCTTCAGAGCCGTTCTTTTGAAAAGAGAAATCCATGCAGGAGAGACATCTGGCAGTGAAGACATTGCATTGGAGCGTTTTTGGCAGGGTCATGTATACTCTGTGTTACTCCTACTTACTATTTTGTCTAATTCTTTTTATAAAAATTCTGGCAATTATATAAGTACTTCAGGCAATTTGTTCCAGTTTTTTACTGAGTTTTTTTTTAATAGCTGTTATTTTAACTAGTGAGAGAAACTCTGAATGTTTTTTTTAGTGCAGACTAAGCCCATTATAGCTTGTCCTGTTCCTCATAGACATTAGTAATTAGTCATTTGTGCTTTGCATTAGTCCTTTGTGACAGCAATATTAAAATACATTTAACGAATATGGTGTTCAATTCAGTTTTGTCATCACTGCTATCTGACCTACTGTGTTTTCTGTATTGTGAGATTTTTGGTTAGCTTCCAAATTGGTCGGTGTGTAGTAGAGAGTAGCATCATTCTGCAAAGTAGTTTGTTTTCACTACGTAGTAAAATAGGGTCTTCTGCAACCAGTGACGAGTTACAGCAGTAGCCAGTCAATACTGGCAAACCAACCCAGTATGTATGATAATTATCTTTTTCTTACAGAGGTACTGCATGGAATGGAGTTGAGATTTTGAGCTTTAGCTTTGTGAATATTGTCATTTGGTATACTTTAGATTTCTGCCCCATTTGCCTTTTTTGATTTAGTGTCTTGTTTGTCATGTGCTAGAGTGTAGGAAATGAAAAATGATTGTGAAACAGTGTTGTCACCGTTTGAAAGGCAACATTTTTTGTGCTTGTCTGTGACTAGAAGCTCTGGTGTTCTTACAGACTTGCTCAGTTTTTGATGAGGGCGTGTTGACAGATGCTATTTGGCAATAAGTAACCTTGATTAAAACTTTGGTGGAGATTGACACTCTGGTGGTCTTGCTGAATCATCAGTTATTTTTGGAAGTTTAGAGCATGGACACACACGAAATATGACTCTCATTTTTTCAATGCTCTGTTTGGCAAAGCATTGAAACATAGGCAAAAACTTGGTTCCTTTCAAGTTTAGAAATTGTTGTGGCTCGTTAGGAGAAGTCTGGACTATATACCTCAGAGCCTGTAGGAAGCTTAGGCTAGTGAAGAATGTTTGTGATATATTTTAACCATTGACCTCCCTGATCATCAGATGTAAACCGTGAGAAGAGCCAGTTCTTGGAAGAAATCTTTTTGTCGTGTTTTCATCATTACTTGGTTAAACTGTGGAACTTACTGAGGTGTGTATTTTGTTTTTCTTGGTTGTCTTACCTAATTTATTTGACTTGGATCCATCTCTACAGCAAGTATGACTCGGTAAGTCTGTAGAGATTTTTGTAAGCTGTGGTTTGAGTATTTGGAGTTTACCTGAGATCCTTTAAATGTTTTCAGCCTGCTCCATCAGGATTTTCCACAGGACATATTAAAGATATTCACAAATTAAAATATCAATTCTATATCCCTTGTCATCTTCTGTATATTAAATTTTCATGTTAAAATATTTTCTTTGGAAAGTTTAAAGGTTACAGTATTCATGTCAATCAACTTACTTGTGTCCTTTGTTGGTGGTGCATTGCGTTCACTGTCATCCCCTTGCAGTCTTAGAGAAGTGTCAAGAGAAACATTTGTTCCATCCTTTGTATGAGAGTAAATATTATTTTAAAAAACAAACAGCGAACAAAAAACCAGAGTATTACAAGGATCTGAAATAGCACGTTGTTTAGAAATTAACTTCCTATTACATGCTACCTTATGACATTTAATTTCCAATTTTTAAAATCACATTAGTCATCCAGAGTATGAGAGACTCTATTATCCGTCTTGTACATGAGCTATTTGCTTTGAAAGGCAAAAAGGGAAGGTGGTGTTGCTAGTGTTCTTTAGAAAAGTGAAGTTCTTTAGGGAAAAATAGTAAACACAAAATAAAAATAGAGAGAAAATATAGACTACATAGTACGTAAGGAATATGTAAGCGATGGGTATCTGCAAAAACCTGGAGTTCTGAAGATAGATTTTTCACATCATGCAACATTTGATAGGATTCTCGTGAATTGTATTTTTTGTTTTACCCAAATAAACTTAGTAAAATAACATTTCCTTGCATTTAAAGTTATTCAGAATTCCCTGTTGGGCTAGTTATTGCGTCTTTTCAGTTGCAGGGCAACTCAGTTTATAAACATGTTCCTTTCAAGTATTGGCTGAAATTTAGCAATTATTTTCCATTAACTGCGCTTAAGTGTGTTTTAAGACCTGGGCTGCTAATAGAAAGGGTCTTTTGTGATGCTGGAAATGGTAGTCAGTTTTCCATTGAATACTGTAGGAATTTGAGAATTACATACTATTTCTAGAACTACAATATACATACAGTGGATTATACTCTGGTTTGCATGTATTAAGGGGATTTTTTGGTTGACTGTGGCAATTGTGCTTGGCTAGCATCATTCTTTGTCTCTTTTGATGGGGAATAGTTGTAGGACAGAGTAAGACAATATGCTTTTCGGTCTGCATTGCTATTGAAAACACATGGGGAAAAGTACATTATCGGGTGTGGAAGATATTTTTCTTTAAACATGCTTAAGGATCAGACCCTGGCAGGAGTGTGTTCCCCTGTTGAAGAGAACTTCTTACACACTCTGAGTGCTCACAAGCGAACCAATTTTTTTTTTTTTTTTTTTTTTTTTTTTTTTTTTTTTTTTTTTTTTTTCTTAAATTCTTCCCTTTCTCCCCCTCCAGCCCCCCATTCTGGCATGTAGCACAGAGATAGCTCATCTACTAGAGCAATGTGAAAGTAACACTATCTGGCAAGTTATTTTTGATACCAAATTCGTTTTTTTAGTATTCGGTTGCTTGCATATATTTCACTGTGGGAATTTTTGTATCCTGCAAAATAAACCCTCCAGCTTGACATAAAGCCTGAGACACAACTATTTTGGCCAGCCTCTCTTCTTTTGACCCTTTTTTAGCCTGTGAATCATCCATCCCTTGGCTGTTCCCTGCAGCTGTCTATCCAGGCTGTGGTTCTTTTTTGCTTCTTGTTCTTGTGTACTGTTTGGGACAGGCTGGTTTGTTCTCGTAAGGCTTCTATACCCAAGTTAGAATGCTGGCAACAGTTCAGCAGTTGTAGCATGAAACTTCTGTGTAGGGTAAGAACTTTTGCAGTATTTGGTGTAGAGAAGCTGGGGGGTGCGAGCTGAATAGTTGGACTAAGCGAATCTTACAGAAGGTTTCTGCAAAAAGGTTTACATTGCATAAATATGTTGATTAGGCATGTGAAGACATGGCCCTTGTCAGAGGTATTCATGCCAGAAGAGACTTCTGTATAGATGGACTTAAAATAGAACAACTGCACTTCTATTGTAGCATGTTTGGCTCATAGGAGTCATATTTAATATGCTTGTATGAAAAACATGCTTGGTGACATAGCGTATCTGTACCAGGTGTAGAGTTCTAATCCGGTATATTACTTGAGGTGGGATCCATGAAATGTGCATGTGAGTTCCTTGCAGAATACAGTGTACAACTAATTTCTGCAAGCAGGAAATGTCAACAAAAAATAAAACTGATTATTTGCAGGTTATTGTTAAATACACAAAATTAAACAGCAGATTCCCATCCCACCCCCCAAAAAACAGTAGTATAAATAACAAATATAATAGAATTATTTCCTGATTAGCTAGAACAATTCTTAGCTGTGGAATACTGGTGCAGAAGACTGGATTATAACCACAGAAAGTTCATTACTTACATATGTAGGGAATGCATTGAGGGAATATTGGCCTACTTACATACTTAAATTCCACCTGCCTCCTACGGTTTACTCCAGAGACATGAATTACCCTTACAAAGCCTCATTAACATTTTACATGTAATACTTTAACTATCTTAAAACTTATGCAAAGTAATTGATTCATCTTTATAGCACACAAAGGTCTATAAAGCTGGTAGTTTATATTCAGTGGAATGAATTAGTCCAGATATGAGACAGTGTCTAATTGGATGGTTCTTTTCTGTTGTAGAAATTAAGATTTCATGTTTTTAAACTTCAAGTATTTTTATTCAAGACTGGGCTGGCTGTGGTTTCAAATAATAATAATTGTCATAAATTTTGCTTGGCTGACCTTTTCCTTAGTAGTAGACTAAAGTTCATTTTGTTGATCGCTAGCACAAATAGATTTTTTTCTGATGTTTTCACTAAAAAACTTTTTTCTAACTGTATGTTCAAGCACACGGTAAAGAGTTAAATTTGTCATGCAAGATGGATTTCTGACTGGGCATGTTTGAGGAAATTGTTGGCATGTGTTTCAGTTACAGTTAACACTTGAAATATTCTGGGAACTAGAATATGTGCAATATATGAATAGGAGATCTAAATCTTCCCATGATTTTAACTGAGAACGCTGGATCTTGTATAGATGCATTTGTTGCACATAAGGAACTAATTTATTATTTTGCAATGAAAACATGTCATTGGAGAACTGACCTGATGGAAATAATGACCGACTGCATTCCTAGAATTATCCTAAGCAGAACTGTTGGCCTTCAGAAGACCTCTCTCTAGTTTCATAGCACTGCCAGTATGGACTTTGATTGGTCTGTGGCACATCTGTTGGCACCATTTCCTTGTAGGTACACTCTTTATTGTTCTTTTTACCAAAACAGGAGCATATTCTTATTAGAACAATTTTAGTAATGAATGTCATCTGATGCTGTTCCTAACTAGTTAAAATTAACATTCTTAGTATCTTTTAAAAAACATACTCAGTTGTGAGTGGATAGCCACCTATTAGTTAAGAGTCATTTAAATGGTCTCTTTTTCATAGGTTTATAAAACATGTTTCTTCATCCCTGTGGCAGATGTCAGATTTAAAAATACCTTAGATGTTTTTTAATAAAAATATGTAGCTGCTGGTTTATGTCTAACAGTGGAAAGCTATAATTTAAGTAGAATTGGCAAAATTTTAAAAAGTTATACAGATGTGATTTTTCTATGTATGTGCTGCAAATTTTTTACTTATTCTAACTATCTTTTCCTGTAGTCTTTTTTTGCTTGTTTATCAAACTAAGTTATAGTAACAAGTACAGTTAAGATTAATGAAAACTTCCTTGAATTTGTTAATACTTGGTTGTTACCACTTGGTTTGGATATGTGGTATTTTCCTTGGCAACTAGTCTTGGGGCAGTCAGTGTTAGTTTTTCTCCCTGATCAGTGTTGTATCTCATTCTTGTGATGTGTATTGTTTAGGTCCTGACAGAGACAGCCTGAACAGAGGTATGAGGTTTTTAACTGTCCCTGTTGGCTGAGGTTGTTGCACTTCATTTAACTTTCCTCTGGTTTTGTCTCTTTGCTTAAGTGTTTAATTTAGCCAGCGTATATATGGAGCACACAGCAAAAAAAGTTCAGAATTGACCGTTTGGGGGTGCTGGTGAGTGCCATGAGGTGTCATTATTGCTACGTTAAAGACTCTCAAAGCATTAATAATATAGGTGACTATCACAGGACCGGACATTCCATAGTAGTTCTGGACTGCTAAACTGATGAGTTGCAAACAACTCAAACAACCCACCCCTGAAAAATCAAGGCAAAAAACTTTGTTAGTTTGGTAAGTCAAAAGAGAAACTGTGGTTTGTGCTGGCAGGTTATGTCCAATAAAAATTACTGTTTCAAGTATTACTTATATATGTAAAAAAAAATCCTAAATAAAATCACCCTCCTTGTTTTTAAACAAATTTACTGTTTTAATACAATGTTCCTCAGACTGTTGAGCTACTATATCCCATTCTTGAAACTCTTACAACAGCAGGCACATTAACTACAGCAGAGTTAAAAATGATGCTTTAGTCTTATTTGTGAAAGCCTGTCTTTTGTAGCTTTCTCAAACTGTAGCAAGGGTAGCATTTCTTTGGTTTTAATTTGTGGCTTTCCCCATGTCTGAAACCATTGTATGCTTTGCTATTGTTATAAGACTTTTCCATAAGACTTGCATACATGTCCGTAAACCTTATTCATATAATGCTTAGCAGTTACAAATATTAAACCGGTAATATAAATAAAATACCTTTATTATATCCTTGGATTGCATTTCATAATCTTGTTGGATCAGGCTTCCCAAGGTAACATCTGTATCATAGTCATAAAACTGGAGTGATTCTTGCTGTTTAGGTGGTGCTGAGTTTACCAAAGGTACAAACGCGAACAGGAAAAAGGTAGTCTGCAAAGTCTTCATTCTTGCACGGAAAAATGTCTCTGGCTTTCACTGAGCTGGTGAAGATCTGCTCCTGTGTTGACTATGGAGAATACTTTCTTTGTGACTGGGAATGAAAATGCAATCCGTCAAAACAATATTTAAAGCCTAGAGGACTAGTTGGCAGGGGTTTCTAACGCATAAGGAACATGGAACAACTTTTAACTCTTGATATCCTTTAATTAGACTCTAGCATTATAAAAACTGGTCTTAACATGAAAATGAACTGGGAAATAATAAACAACATTTTCCAACTAGGAAGGAAAATATTATCTTAATTGCATTTGTTTGTTTCCCAGTGTGTTATTTTTGTTAATAGCAAGAGGATCTTATAAAGCATTTTATGAAGCATTTGGCATGTATGTAGCTGAACTAATTAAAATGAGAGGTTCAAATGCATTTTTTTCCATCATCAATACAGTGTTTTTCAAACCTAAATGCTCTGTAACAGTAATCTCTGTCTTTACATTTGAAAGTAAACAAGAGAGGGTAACATCCCCTGAATTTTTGCAGGTTGTACACTTTTCTGAGCAGGGGGAGGAGGCTACAAACATATCCTTAAAACATTTAAAATACACATGCAGTAATTTTTAAAATAAATCTTTACACAGCATTTTTTCCTGATTACTGTAATTGAGTGTTTTATTTAAGCTTTATGTTAATATACTTTTAGGAAAGAGGTCCACCTACCTTTTGTCAGATTCAGAGTTCTTCTGTGATTGTCATAAAACCAGGTATCCTTATTTGTATGTTAAGCTGAAGTGGATTAATAAAAGAGTAAAGTTATGAATTGCACTCAAAATGCTGAAATGAATACTCTTTCAAAGTTTGACAGTCTTAAAAGTGCTTTCCATGGGGTAAGAAATGCTTTGCCAGCACTCTTTCCCTAGGGTGAGAGGTAATATCCTGGAGCAGGGGGGTTGTACTTTGAATAACGTTTGTAAACGTTAAGTCTGTCTGGCTCATCCTACTTTTGATATTAGTTGTTAAAATTGTAGCCTTCTGCTTTGTGGTGATTTATTCTTTATAATTGCTAAGGCTTTTTCTGTAAATCAAGTATTAATTGTGCAAACTAGAGGTCTATAACAAGGCATGTGTTATCCATTTTGTTTAATGGTTTAGCTAAGAGACAAAGCAGCTGCCTTCTGACTGAGACAGAGGTAGAGCCAAAACATACGTATACCATATTAGTCACATTTTATGAGTAATAAAATGTTTCATTACAAGTTGTATATGTTTAGAAAAGTTTCACCTAAGTATGAAATGGAAACTTTTCAGTCTGAGGGGTTCTGGAAACAGAAAATACTTTTTAGAATTGTGTGTGTGTGTGTTGAGACTTTCAGACAAGTAATTCATGTTGAAGTGCTTCACTGAATGACTTGTTAGGCAATTTATTGAAAAACTGGTTTCACAGTAAATACTTATTTTGAGTAAAGTTCTATATCAGTTCTACAGATAACTTGCTAAACACTGTCCAGGTGTAGAATTTTCATCTGAACTGCAATTAGAACTTCTCTGGATTTCTAATGTATTTCTTCCTCCCCCATCCTTTTCCTTATTATGTATTTTTGGCAGTCAGTACAAATAGGAGCCAGATGACCAACTTTATAGTTTTTAAAGTAGCTTTTTTGAGTCTTTAAAAAATATGTAGCAATAAAATCTATTGGAGATATATTCAGATTTACATTTCTTTTTCATTTTCATTACTTTTTTTTTTAAATAGCACTGTCAGCTGGAGTAATGTTTGGAATAAACAGTGGACCTATTTGGTTAAATTTTCTTGTAAGTGCTGCTTTGTTTAGAAACCAGATGTCTGTAGTAAATCTGCAAATTGTAGAGTGGCTACAGCCATTTGCTCTCTAAACTTTTTTCCAGTTTATAATTAGTTACCACTTTCTGAACTCATTAGGCTTTTATAAAAATTGTTTTAATTTAGCTCATATGCAAATTAAACAATATCATAGTTTGGACTTGGGGCTTGCTCTCGTATAATGATTTTGCTCTAATTATATAACTGAAATGTAAAGGGAAGAGGCTCAATAGTAGTGGAAGGTGGACTCTGAATCACATTGGTTGCTGTCCTGCTGGAACACAATGAACAACAAAAGTTCTGAAGTGGCTGGGTTGTTAAGGAGTTTTCTGTTACAATACATAAGAACTGTCAGTTGGAAGTACTGTGTGTGATAGGGTGGATTTTGCTGAGGAAAGGACAAAAAAAAAATTGCGGTGTCAATACCATTTTACCATCCCTTGTGGTTTCATGCATGTTTCAGAAGCTTTCTACTTTCTACTTACCTCTTTCTACTTTGCTTTCTACTTACCTCTTTCCAGCTGCCACCCCCCTGCTAAACATCCACGTTAAGATTTCATCTGGCTCTGGGGCATCTAAGTTTTTCCAATGCTTGAATAACATCCATGTTAAGATTTCATCTGGCTATGGGGCATCTAAGTTTTTCCAATGCTTGAATGTAATCAAAGCATAAATGTTCTAAGGGAAGAGTATTAAGTATCAAAGCTGAAAGCGTGATATAAAATATTAATGTATTCAGTATATTCTTATGAGAATTTATTTCATAAGTACTGAAATCCTATATTTCACAACTATGTATATGGAATATCTTGGGAATAGCTTAGTTTTTTCCATATATATGACAATTTTTAAAAATGAGGCAAAATTACTGGATAATATATGGCCTTGAAAATTTAGGAAGTCTTCATGCAAGAAAGCTTTTACTTGCTTTGATCTGCAAGAGAAGAAACTTTTATTGTTAGCAGATTTTAGTAACAGCTTCTGCAGAAAACGTCAAAAGCCTGTGTTCATCAGGGTCACAAGATTTCAGTGGTATGCTTACCACAAAAACATTGTGTAATGTGTGTACTCACTGCTGTTATCCAAGCACTTACAAGAAAATCATGAACACTTACTTACAAATACATTTGAAGAGTGATATGTTAAATAATTACTTTGGCGTGATGTCATCAAGGTTTACCTTACAGTATTGTTTTACTATCACTTTAAACTGTCATTGCAAAATATAGTTGTCCTGTCACGTATTTCATCTGCTTGTCATCCCTCGTGCCAGGAAGAAAGAAAGTAGTAACAAATAATTTCAAATACAAACTTTTCATCTAACGTGTAACAGATGCTCGTATCAGCTAAAGGAAGGGGATGGCACAAGTAGCTGCAAACAAGGCAGGATAGTGTTTCTTCTTTTGGCAACAGTGCTGGTTTGTTTTTGTTCAAAATGACTTGGAACAACCACAATCTCCAAATGACCTGAAATGCAAAGTGTAGTTCACATGCGTTGGCAGTAGGGAAGGTAACAGGAAGCATCACCCTAGGAAGCAGAGCACACCTTCTAGGCTTGGTTGGTGCTTGGAAGTCTGATATGTGGGTACCTGTCTCTTGGACTCTAGTTACAAGGATCTGTGGACTTAGAAAATGATTTATTTTCTGAAAACCTAAACAAGCTCTGCTGTTAACTAATTGAGCTCCAGTTGTTGAAGAGGGCCTTGATGATGTGTTTATGGTCTGCTTTGTGATTTGTCAGGTGTGCCTTTTTATTTAACCCATGATACCTCACTTTCACTGGCTGACTTTCCCAACCAGATGCTTTCACCTGAAATGTTAGGCATTTTAAATGGCTATTTGACTAATTGTGTTGAAATGGAATCCTGGTTTAAATTTCAACAGTAGTTATTTCCCTACAATTTTGTAGGGCTATGAAGTGTAGTTGAAAGTGTAAATGACATATAATGCTTTTTTTACTTCCAATACAGAGAATCCAAGTCAGTCTAACAAGGGACACTAGCTCTCTGGATTCTGCTTTCAGAAAACTTAACTTCAGGTGGAAAAGGGCTGTGTATACAGTAGGTGTAAAATTTGTTCCCCATGTCGCCTTCTATCCAGGTAGACAATGAAGAATAAAAGGCTTCTAGGAGAGGAATAGGCTGCCCAGGGAGGTGGTTGAGTCACCATCCCTGGTTGTGTTTAAGAACTGTTTAGATGTGATGTTGGGGGATATCACAGAATCGTAGTGGTTGGAAGGGACCTCTGAGATCATCGAGTCCAACCACAAAAAAACAAAAAAAACCAAACCAAAACAAAAAAAAACCAAACCAAAACAACAACAACAAAAAAAAAACAAAACAAAAAAACCCCACACCACACCAAACGCCCACCAAAAACACCGCACCCACCAACTAAACCCCACACTCAACACCTCGCCATAAACTAATAACCTTGGGCACTAGAGCATGCCCTGAAGAGCCATGTCTATACGTTTCTTAAATACCTCCAGGGATGGTGACTCCACCACCTCCCTGGGCAGGCTGTTCCAGTGCCTGACCACTCTCAGTAAAGTAATTCTTTCTAATATCTAATCTAAATCTCCCTTGCCGCAACTTCAGACCATTTCCTCTGGTCTTGTCGTTTGTCCTTTGGGAGAAGAGGCCAGCACCTGCCTCTACAACCTCCTATATGGTGTAGGGGAGAACTTGAGTGTAGGGTAGATGGTTGGACTCGATGATCCCGAGGGTCTCTTCCAGCCTAGATGATTCTGTGAAAAGAATGAAGTTGGATGGGTATTGATAGCAGAGGTAGAAAAGGTGTGGGAGAGCAAGACAAAAGTTAACTATCCAAACTATATGTGTTGTTGATTAAATCTTCAGCATTTGGGAAGCAATGTAGTATTTATTAGTGTTTATATGTCAAGAGCAGGTAAAGCAAAAAATCAAGCTGAAAACATCCTAGAGGATCTGAGGAAAGATTTTGTTTTGAAGGCAGATGAGCAGATTTTGTAACTTATTTGAACTGGCTGATGTTCAGCTCAGTCTATTTATCTTGCACTTGAAGTGGCCTCATATATTCTTCCCTGCTCAGAGCTTTAGTGTGACTAACTCATTTCTGTTCTCACTTTTCTACAAACATTTTAAAAGGCAGATCACAAAAGAAACCAAAGTTTTCCTTAAAAATGAATCATGCGGGTGCATACTGCAAAAGCTCTCATGAGCAGTTCTCATAGGTACCAGCATGTTAATTACCTTTTTACCATGTTGGTGTTAAGCTCTTTTTACTTAACGCTTAGTAGCTTAATACAAAAATGATGGGAGGGAACTTTTCTGTACTTTTAACGTTGCTTTGAAATGTTGTAAAGTGATTACACTGGAACTGAGGGCTGGTTGCTCATAATTCTCAGTGTGAGGCACTTAGGTCTTATTCCTGGTAAACCCCTGCAAGGTGCTGAAGAACTGATTAACCTGGAAAAAGCCAGATTACCAGAGGGGGGGTGACCTTTCCTCTCTGTAAAGCTGTTGGTTAGAAGTTACTTCTCCAGGGTGCCTGTAGGTATTGCGTGGAAGCAGGGACTGGCCCTGTCTATATAAAGAGTTCTGTTTGTGTGGTGGGAGGTAGAACACAAGGAAGAAGAGGGAAAAGAAAAAAAGGAGGGGGGGGGGGCCGGAAAGAGGGGGTGTGTGTTTGTCTCTGGGATGCTTGGGTTAATAGGGCTATGACATTAAGGGGAATGCAGTAAGATTGCTATCAAGATTTTCTTTATGAGATAAACCAAAGCTGCGATTTTTAAGTTTTTTGAATACTCAGGTTTGTTCTATATTTAGGCAAAGAAAGTGTATTTTTGCAGCTGCTTAAAGACTTTGCTTTTATCTTGTATCATAGTCTCTAAAGGGACAATATTGGCAAGTTCTGTAGTTTCTGGGTTTTATTGTTTTTAAGTGTTCTTGGAAGAAAGAAGTATAGATTATTACTTAGCTTCCTCATGTCTGATGAACATTGGGAATCAATTATACACAATGTTCAAAAATCAGTGTCTTGGGCAGAAATGTGTCTGTGACAGAATGAGACGGGGACAAATTAGGAAAGCTTT